TCCTGTCTTCTCAGAAACTTATAATCCCTCTGGAGTTATTTTCTCTTGCTCACTGTGTCTTCACTGGACATCATGAATGGTGTCTCAGTCTTTGGGGAAATACAACAGATAAGCTGTATTATTGTGATAGCTGCTTGTTTTTTGAGTGTCCTAGAAGCTTGCAGAATGACATGGCTATTGTTGATCAGGAAAGTAATGTTATTACATTTGGGTCTCAAAGAAATCCCTGGACACTTGTGTGACAGAGATGGCGGCTTCCAGAATGATTACGTCGCTCAGGTACATTTTTGTCAGTCACATTTGCAAATACCGAAGGTCCGGCGTTGAGCTGAGGCTCCTCCATTCTCTGGTTATGTGTTCATGTTTTCTGACATTTTGTTCATCAGTGATTTAAACAGCACCTATCCTGTGATGGGGTACTTGTAGAGTCTGTAGGTTAGGGCAGGTGAAGTGAGGAGCAGGGAGGAAACAAGTTGCTATGCCATTGGAGGCGAATGGCAGTGTTGGCCCATAGAAAACCTCTTCCTTCCCCTCTGTGCTCAGATCCAGCACCTGGAGAGAGGAAATGTATATAGTAATATATGATTTCCCTCAATCCATGTATAAGTAAGTCAGTTTAAATGTGACTCGTTGGGTTATATAACAATGGCGTCTCCGCTGGCCATTGGGTCATTATACCTGTTTAACGTCAGCATGTTAGCATTGTCATGTCATGCTTGCATTTAGTTTAAAGTACCTACACAGCCTCACAGCCACTAGCATGGCTGTAGGTCACCAGTGGCAATACAGTAGTTCATACATAATGAGGATGGGGATTTTGTATGTTCACGGGTATTTTGACAAAAAAGCTGGAGGCCTCTGCCACATCATAGTTTTCTTCTCAGATATGCATGTTAATTAATAAATAAATTCTAAGTCTTGCCTTTGTCATTCTATTTATTTAACCGCATCTTACATAGCGAGTTTTTACCTTAACGGACAAAGCACTATACAGTTTCCTTCTCATTCACACACAATCACATGAGCTGCTAGCCTGACCAGTGGGAGCAACTTGGGGTTCAGTGTCCACATGCATAAGGGCAGGGTGGACTAAGTGTTGTTATTCTTCCCTATTCTTTTAATTCAATGGCACTAATAATGGTACCAAGACTTAACAAATGTATCAATACAGAGTTTCTCCATAGTATTCTTCATAAAATCAGAACAACCTGATAATGTTCTTTGGAGAGAATTCTTTCCATTGACCAGAACTGAGGGTCACGGAATCTTTTTATATGGGTTTAAACATCTTTGGAAGACTGTATGCATGAGTACATTCCTGATAGAGGCTGACCAATAAAATACACACATTTGTCATCCGATACATTGCAATTAATAGCAGAAGGGTAAGGAAGAAATGAACACATTCACACACATATAGCCATTGGGACCAATTTGGGGTTCAGTATCTTGCCCAAGGATACTTCGAAATCCAGACTTCTGATCAGTGGACGACTGCTCTACCCCCCCGAGCCACAGCCGCCTGCCTTATCTTGGTAAGGTAAAGTATGTGTGTAACTACACATAAAAAATGTTAGGGATAACCTTTGTATATGTTTGGTTATGTGTTTTGATATATCGGAATATCAGATTTAAAATCCTCAAATATCAAAATCGGTCTTAAAAATCCCATATCAGCCGTCTCTGTTATGAGATTTTTTTGGTAAGAGATCAGGCAGTGCAGAGCACACTGAAGAGCAAGAGAAGCCCATTAGACAAATAACTGAATTCTGAAGTGAACTGTTACGAGGCTAAACCTAAAAGCCACATGTCTCACCTGAATGCACGCCAGAGGCTCATTGGTCCAAATGGAGTATCCTCCAACCACATAGATCCTATCATCATGGACGGCAACGCCGGACTCATTTTGACCTGGGGAGGACAGAGCCGACACAATGCTTCACTGTGCCAAGCAGAGGGCATTCTGACAATATGACTTCCATGTCCCCCGGGAGGCAGAGAGGGAGATAAATGGAGAAAGATGTGGCAAGGGCGGGAGTGTACAGAGAGTCAAGATTGAGCTCCTGTTCTCTTTCCTGTGACTTTGTCTTAAACTTTTACAGATAGATGGGAGGAAAATCATATAGGAGTAGAGATGGAGGGAGGAATTGTAAAGTCACCTGAACTTTCAACCCTGTAAGTGTTGCTTGAAAACTACAACAGGAAATGGGAGAATATGAAAACATCCATGTTGGTGGAGGTGGCACTCTATCCCACTTCCACCAGCATGCCCACAAGTTCAAAGTAGGGATTTATGTGTTTTCCGTGTATATCATCCTACTGCCTACACAAAACCAGCAGAGAGGCATTATGTGATATGTTTCTATCTAATGAGAAGAGGATAAAGCAGAGACCTTGCCCAACCTTTGTTTCCACATACAGTACATCATTGGAATTAAAAATACACCGTGTTCCAGATAAATAAGTATTAATGCTCCTGAAATCTTACTTACTTCTCTGTTATAAAAAAAATATTCATGACTAAATAGGCTGCAATCAAAAGTTATGTATTAAGACTAAAATACTCAAAAACTCAGCTAATCTGCATCATGGGGGCAGAACAGCGGCCTGGCAACATAAGCAATGACCCCACAATAGTCATCGCAGTTTGATTCAAATGTCGCTAAATCGTGAGTGGTGTGCATAAGCACGTGACTATGTGCTTATGATTTCAGGGCTTTTACTAGAAAAGATCAATCCAATATTCACTCCCCTTTTAGCTTTGTTTTTTTTTTTTGTCTATCCTTTCGGTGCTGTGTCAGAGCTCTAAATCTCTTCAAACAGCTGCCTGCTGCAGCCCAGAACAACCAACCGAAACTGTAAAGTTACGGGCCAGAAGATCGAAACAGAGCCAGGCCAGCAGGTTCCCCATTTCCAGTCTTTGTGCTATGCTAAGCTAAGCTAACCGTCTCCTGACTATAGCTTCATAGATAACTTGACTCACACATGAGAGTGGTATCAATCTTCTCATTTAACTCTCGGCAAGAAAGCAAATACGAGTATTTCAAACAATCCCTTTAAATTAGTATATATTACATAGAAGTCTTACAAAACCAGCTATTTTTGCAGCAATTTGTAGTGTAATGTCCACCTATGTTTCTGTCTATAGCAACATTGAAGTGAAAGAACACAGTCTTGCCAACAAGAGGCTTGACCATTTGCTTACTATCAACTGATTAACCAGCTAGAGTTTAAATGGTGCGTGTGTGCATGGTCAGGTGTGGTTCCTTCACTTTGCCCACCCGTGAGGAGGCTGAAGGAGCAGCGCGTCCATTGGTCCAGGTCCATGTTGTAGGAGTCAATGTGCCGGACCAGGATGCGGTCATTGTTGTAGTCCAGGTCATTCCCACCTAGCACGTAGAGCTGCCTCCTCACAGCCGCCATAACGTGGTAAACCCGCCTCTGCAACATGGGACTGCGGGCCAGCCACTGGTCCTAAGAAGGCGGTTGGAGGTGGTAGAGAGTGAATTAGGGGAACGCAGATGGAGAAGGCAGAAAACGATGAGAAGGAGGCGAGATGTAGTACGAAGAGGGAGGGAGAGAGAAACAGAGAGGGTGGGAAGGGAAGGAGGATGAATAAGAAGATTAATATTTAAGCATATCCATGCATGGGTAATTGATGTATGCTCAGTGCTAGATAAATAACGTGACACTGGAGCTCTGGTTTGTACTAATGACTTCCCTCCCTATTTCTAATCATATGTTTCAGCCACTCCATTTTACACCGAGGATCCCTGCTCATTTCACTAAGTGTGTAGAAGCGTATTTTGTGTCAGTGTGTGTATGTGTGTGTGTGTGTGTGTTTGATTGAGGCAGAGAATGAGAGTGTGTGTGTGTGTGTGTGTGTGTGCGTGTGTGTGTGTGTGTCTGCTGGGAGCTGACGGGTGGCCATCTGTTGAGGGTAGAGTGGGTGGGGGGTTGCTATTGCTCTGGCAGGTGAATGCAGATTCATGGTGAATACCAATGAGACTCTCTCCCTCTCTCTTTCACTCGCATCCTTGTTCCCCCGTTTCCACGCCAACATGTACAAACACAGGCCCATATGGATACCCACCTTACACATAAACACTCTGCATACCTCCATACTATATACAGCCTCACCAAGAACCAGGGCTCTTTAACAGCCGGCTCATGAGCATACACGAACAGGAGCCACAGCTAACTACATTCCACTACAGTTAGCTGTGTGTGAGTATTGCAAATAGAGAAATTATATGTTATTAAATTCATTGTCATCCATGATGCACTATAAAACTGCAACAAAATAGATGTAAGTGTATGATTGTTCACTTAGTATTTAGGATAAAAGGTTGCAATCAATATTGGGAGGATTTCCATTAAAGGACCGGTACCAGTGTTTTAGTATTAAATAACTGCAAATTACAAATACAATGCTTTACTGCTGATTATATTCTAAAGTAAGCTGGAGAGTTTTTCTTATGTATTTTTCACATTTTCCACAATGCCATTGGTTTCCGCTAATTTCCATATGGGGTGAAAATCAATTAGCAGACTCTTCCATCCATCACATAACGTCTGCATTAGTTTTCTGATAAACACCGTCACTGAAGCATTGATGAAGTTTAATATGGAAGCGTATATGGAAGAGTATAGGGGACTAATTTCAAATTATCATGCAAACATGAAAATGAAAATGTAATCCCACAATAACATCATCATTTTCCACATATGTGTGTTATTTAGGTAAAAATGAAAATGAAAATGCAAACATACAATTTTCATTATCACATACTTGGGTGGGCATTCTAGGACCATATTAAAATGAAAATGGAAACAGCATTTGACATTGCATTTTCAACGGCTTAACCTGCTCTAAAGTGGACTTCAAATGCAATGAGTGAAACAGCGCCCCCAGTCTATTGCATTTACATGTGCATGTCCTCATGGTCCTTTTAGGTCAAAATTAAAATTAAAATGCCTTTTTCTAACTATGTGAAAATGAAAATAAGATCAGCATTTGACGTTGCATTTTCAAAGACTTAGTCTGCTCTATAGTGGACTTTATTCAAATGCAATGAGTGAAACAGCGCCCCCCAGTCTATTGTATTGCATTTACATTTACAAGCAGCTTTCCAAGGGACACAATGCAAATGAAAATTCAATCCGTCAGTCCTCTCATCAAGGCGAGTCCTCAGTTAAGACGTCCCTTCCTTTTCAGTTGGAAGGCCACTTCAGGTTCTCATGGTTCAGTTGTGTATCTACCATTACACAACACTAGGCAGTAATTTCACAACCAAATGAAATCTATCGACCGAACAGCTCAAGGATGGATCTATACCAACTTCAAACTTGGAACCTGTAAGTTTTGCCATTTTTATGTTGCTTTTGTATTGTTTGTTTTTTTGAACACTTGCCTGTTGAACTTGGCATTAGCACGTTCTGCAGCTAATGTGGCTAACTGTAACATCAAGCTGTTTCTGGCGTGTATTGTGACAATAAGACCACACGCCTCGCCTGTATGTGCGTCTGTTGCTGCAGTAGCCTATGTAAGTTTACCTGATAGATGCATGGCACGTGCAAAAAACGTTAACTTGCTTATACCCAAAAGCTGTAACATCACATTATTGCAATACTAGTATTAGTGACAATACCACAGCTCTGTTACAGTTAATGTTATAGGAACAGTCAGCCTGTCTGTCATATCAACTACATAGCAGTTACAGCTATAAAAATTGCAAAAACATTGCCATAACTACACACTTTAGATGATATTGAACTTGTTAAGTGTTTCCTGCAGACAGGCCAGCAGAGGTGTTTCCTGCCAGGCTAACAGAAGACAATCAGAGGACTCCTCACTCCTCCTCAATTACAGGTTTGTACTTAGCTGTTAAACTCATGTTAATGCTGCTATTAACAGTTTGTTTTTGTTGTTTCTCTGTGTATGTTTCTGTAATATAAAGTAGACGTTATTTCCCTCTTTTACCATAAGAGGGAGTATACTGTTTAGTGAGTCATTTTAGGAGCCTGCAACACTAGTGCTTTGCTGTAACGTGAGTCTGAACAGACCATGTGCTAGTAACAATCTACCGTCCGATCTGCTTGTGTATGTTGCAGGTAATCAGACATAATATATCTAAGTAGGGTACGCTAGAAGTGGATGTAAACAGTCATGGTAGAGTGGTAAAGTTGGCCATTCATTTCCACTGAGCATGGCTGTGTCTGAAATCCCGCTCATTCACTACTCCCTACCACCTATGTAGGGAGTTGTATGTAGAGGACTATACAGTGAGCTCACTCTCATTGTTAAAACAACACTTTCGGACACTACTCCGATTGTTATTTCGCGCTGTTAATTACGCCATTACAGTCAGGCAATCAGTTTTTTTTTTTCAGGACAATGCATGATGGTATATAGGGCTTGGTTAGTGACCATCGGTTGTACACTACTTTTCAAAATGCATTCACTACATACACTGAGTGGAGTATTTAGGGAATAATAATAATCACTATACATTGAGACAGCATTACAAAATGGCGAGCTCACTATATAGTCCACTATATAGTGAGTAATGGGTGATTTCGGACACAGCACATGTTTCGGCGGAAGTGTAGTTGTTGTTCTTGTTAGCGATGTTAACCGAGCAGCTAAGCTAACTGTTGCCATGACATTGAGACCTTGTGGTGATACCTTTTTATATACAGTCTATGGGTGATACATGTAAGAAATTGTGTCTGACTGTACATGCAGCTGTATATTATATAGCTGTATATTATATATGATTTAGAATAATAAGTTGAGAAATGGGTCTGTTCTTAATTGTTGACAGTTGTAAAAAGTCTTTAATGTTCTCCACTTGTTATCCTGTAGTTACACATAATGTTAATGGTGTGGGCTGTACCCACTGTTATCCCATGCGCTATAATCACACAGTAACCATGAGATGTGTGCTGTTCTCCCATTCTTCCTCTGTATCAACACGTAAACAACAAGGCATGCAAGGGGGAATATAAAAGGAATTAATTTTATTATTTGGGGATTTTCTTTGTTTTCCTCTGACATATATTGTTATGTTCTCCGTATGCCTCCTCCTCTGTCTTCTGTGCAAGACACAGTAGTACAGTAACTAGCCTACATTAAATAATTTCGACTGGTTAAGTGCAGTAAAGTTAACTAAATTGACTCCATTACCACACATAAAACACGGCTTAATAGCAATCACATTTAACAGAATCATAAAATTCTTCTTAACTGTCAAGATTAGTTTATTTGTTTTGGAGTTCTCAGAAACAACAGCTCACTTTCCTGCAGTTCTGTGTCTATGTAAGTCGCTAAGTGAAAACTCTGTAGGTAAGAGCGTCCACATGAAAAAGAAAGAAGACATGGCTGGTAGTATTGTCTTCTAGAGTTGCTAAACACTTCAGCGCACTGAAGGAAGCCATCTGACTGTGTGTGGAGCAAGCTTTTTGATGTGTGCAGGTAGAGTAGGCCTAGAGCTCTCCCGTCTTACTGGTCCACCAATAGGGGAGAAGTTCACCCCTTGAGACACAGCCCCTCCTCATTTACATAATGAGGCAGAAATGGATAGAGAAATGTAAAAAGGACACGCAGAAATAAATACCATTGGGGAAATAAATAGGATAGAAAATGCAAAGGAAGAATAAACAGGCAAAAATATTTCAAACACACATAAATTTTAAAAATAAGTAATTAACAAATAAAGTTGAAGATTATAACAGACAATAAATAAATAAGGTAATTATTACAAAGGTGAATAAGTAAAGAAGCTAATTAAAAGAGATACATTTATGTCTCATTGTATAATTTAATTACTGCCTTCATTGATTTATCTACTTTATTTTTTGTGCATCAGATGCTAATTTATTAATTGAGCATTTATTTATTTATGTATTTATTTCTGAATTTGTCAGGATCAGTCCTCCATACAGGTTAAGCCTTTGAAAATGAAATGTAAAATTCTGTTTCCATTTTCATTTAAAAAGTATGCGATAATGAAAATTAAAATTGGATGATTGCATTTTCATATAAATTTTTACCTAAATAATACATACATATGTGGAAAATGATAATGTTATTGTGGGATTATATTTTCATGTTTGCATGATAGTTTGAAATTAGCTATCTGTACATTGTTGACAAAAAAAGCAGCGGAAGAATTACCAGATTAAAGAAACATAAGTAACAGTAGAAAGCAGTGGTTGATAGTAACTAAGTACATTTACTTTACTTAAATACAAATGAGAGGTAATTGTACTTTACTTGAGTTTTTTATTTTCACACCACTTTCTACCTCTACTCCACTACATATTGAACTTTTTACTTAACTACATTTATCTGACAGCTGTAGTAACTAGTTACTTTTCAAATTGAGCTTTTTGCACACAAAACATCCATCCATCCATCGTCAACCGCTTATCCTGTGTACAGAGTCGCGGGGCACACAAAACATATGAAGACTTAATACAACATGATGTTTTCTTATAAATGAAACTAAACCGTTTATACAAATATAGCTACTACATTCATTGATTGACAGAAATTTAATTGGCAACTATTTTGATTAAATTGTTGAAGACATTTTTCATGTAAAACCTTCCATGGTTCTACCTTTTGATAATTGTATTATTATGTATTTTTCACTGTGTCAATCACTGTGAGGTTTTGGTGTCACTTTGGGCTCTGGGCAACTGTGACAACATTTATCAATATTTTTTTAAATATTTACAACCGATTCATGGAGAACGTTCCCAGCGGATTGATCCATTATCAAAAAGCCATTAATCTCAACAACTACAAAAGTTAAATCCTGCTTTAACATTAATGCATGTGTAATAATAATCTAATGATATAATATATATATTAGTATAGCAGTCACGGCAGACATTTTTCATTCTGCATTGAATACTTTTACTTGTAATACTTTAAGTACATTTTCCTGATTATACTTATATACTTTTACTTAAGTAACATTTTCAATGCAATACTGTTTTCAAGTGTGTGACTACTGACTGTACAGAACTGAATTAGCGTGGGAATTTCTGGCACATATTCACCTACTTGCAATGTGCAAGGAGAAGGGAAAGCTATGGTGTTTATTTCTGGTCATAAGTTGTGAGCGTGTAAAACATGCTCGCGATAAAGTACTCACGCACAAATTCAAGTCTACATGACTTTTGACAATTTGGGGGCGGAAACCAAGGAGGGCACTGACCCTTTTATGATTGGTCACTTTCAACGTGATCACAACCAGAGCTGTTAAGTAAGAGAGTTACGACACTCCCATTGTCGGAACTGTGGATTGCGTAAGTGGCACGTGTCACAGGGCAGCCGATAGTTACAAACACTGAATAGTTCTGAAAACATCTTGATCTATCATTGTCATGTCTCTTGGGGAAAACCGCAAGCAAGATATATTGTTATATAATTAAGTTTCTTAAAGAAACTGATTTAGATAAAATAATTTTTCTGTTTTGTTTATTTATTTTACTGCTTAATCTCTCGTTCCACACTCCAGTTGGTGGCGGTAATGCTGGTTTGCCCACCGCCAATAAACACAAAAGAAGTTCCAGCGCTGTATCTAATTAATTTTTGTTATGTCCGACCAACCTATGCTCGCTGGTAAGTTGATGAAATACATTTTTAGACATTTTAACCCATTAATTGACCTCTTATGAATTTAGTCAATAGCGGTATTTTATGTAGCTGGCTTTAGTTCATCGGCTGATAAGATCAGCAGCACAAAAAGCAAGTAACGTTATAACTGCAGCAGATAGATAACGACTTAATCTGTTTTTCTGTTCAAGAGGCTGACATGAAACCATCTGAGACTTACTATAATGAGTGAGCAAGCCAGTGATCCACAAAGGATTCAAATATCAACGAGGTATGTCCCTGTCAGAAACAGCTCTCCATGTTGAATCAGTGCCTCTGAACAGCAAAAACAGAATATTTTAACCTTCACGAAGGTAGGATTATTGCAGGACTGCATTAGTTTTAGCTTGGTGTACCTAATAAACTGGCAGCTGTATCTGCTTATAGGCCCCATAGAAACATACCAAACTTGTATATTTAAGAGTAAGTTAGTGGAGTGCAAATACCATATCCAGCCAACAATAACTAGGACAAGCTTTCTTTCACAATATGAATATAGTGACATAAGACATACAAATAATTTGAGCTTCGGAGGCATTTACACATCCTTTCAGCTGCTGTTCTTACTGTGTTGAATGCTCTTAGTGGCCTTAATAGGTGCACCTTTACATTGTAATGCAGTTCAATACAACAGCTGTGCCACAATTTAATTAAATGTTTTATACTGAGGTTAAAATTATAGGGTGTTTTACTGAACTACATTGTGTTGGATATGAGGATTGTTTTTGTCCTCCCTATTTACATAATGTACATTACAGGGCCAGAATATCAGAAACTCCTCTAAATATAATGCAGCTCATTACAACATCAAAGGACTTGTCTTACAACTTTTAGTCCACTGAAATAACATAAAAAAAGTTTATAGTTACATAATATAACATTCTTTACTGGGGCACGGAACCAAATAACCGAAATCATGCCAATGTCCAGATACAACTGGACTTAACTGTGTACTCTCACTCCTGTAATCTCAACCTCATGAAATTATTTGGGAAACATTGGCTTTCCATGTATATTATAATTATTATTAATATTATAATATTAAAATCCATGTCTTTAATGTATTAACCTTGTATTATCGTGTATTAACACTGTTTCATCTTTCTTCTCCCTGTTCTTTCCAGCAGCACCAGGCTCGTGTCTCCTCAAGACCTGGTCTCATCTGGGGCCTATGACCTGGTCTGCTTCTGACAGTAGACTGTCCTCAAAAAAAAAAATAAACAACCTCACTTATCCTCTCCCTGTAGATAATATATAATAAAGTGTTTTGTTGAATGCAATTGGTTGCCTTATATATTTGACACTATGTGAAATGTGTCTTAACACAACAGTACATTAGGACATGTGATATACAATAGACTAATTATATATATTCTGCATATACAGTACATTCTGTGCATGTATTTGTGTGTTCTGAGGTATAGTTTAGCCTGTGTTTCGGGAAGGATATAGGGGTAACATTACACTAGCCATTTTAAAATAAATTACCAAGCAGTAATTATATGGATTGTATTTAGGAACAGAGTAATTCACTCTGTAGTCTAACCATCTCTGCAGTTGCATTTAAAAAGATAACACTGTTAATGCTGTCTCTCTGTCCCTCCAAAGAAAAAAAATCTCTACTGGAAGTACAGTTAACGTAGTAATCAATGTACATTATATGAAAAGTGCTGCAAATATAGACTGCTGTTAATTGTCACACAGATCTTCAACAGATCACTGGAGCTGTGTGAAGTCCCCTCCTGCTTCAAACGCTCCACAATCATCCCGGTCCCCAAAAAACCCTCTTTCTCTGGACTAAAAGACTACAGGCCTGTCGCCCTGACATCTGTAGTCATGAAGTCCTTTGAAAGACTGGTGTTGGCCCACCTGAAGGACATTACAGGCTCCTTGCTGGACCCCCTGAAGTTTGCCTACAGGGCTAACAGGTCAGTGGATGATGCAGTCAACTTGGGATTGCATTACATCCTGCAACATCTCGACTCTCGACGAAAGGAAGTTTTTCCTTGCCTCTGTCGCCTAGTGCTTTCTCTTGGTGGGAATTGTTGGGCTTCTGTAAATAACATCATAGAGTACAGTCTAGACCTGCTCTTTTATGAAAAGCGCTGTGAGATAACTGTTGTTGTGACTTGGCGCTATATAAATAAAATTGATTTGAATTGAATTGAATTGACTCTCCAGGGACATATGCTAGGATCCTGTTCGTGGACTTCAGCTCTGCGTTCGACACCATCATCCCGGACATCCTCAGCACCAAACTCACCCAGCTCACTGTGCCAGCCTCCACCTGTCAGTGGATCACAAAATTCCTGGCTGACAGGGGTCAGCAGGTGAGACTGGGGAACATCACATCCAGCACACGGACTATTAGCACTGGCACCCCCCAGGGCTGTGTGCTCTCCCCACTGCTCTTCTCCCTCTACACCAACGACTGCACCTCAGGAGACCCATCTGTCAAACTCCTGAAGTTCGCTGGCGACACAATGGTCATCGGCCTCATCCAGGATGGTGATGAGTCGGCCTACAGACGAGAGGTTGATCAGCTGGCTCTCTGGTGCAGCCAGAACAACCTGGAGCGTAACACGCTCAAATCTGTGGAGATGATCGTGGACTTCAGGAGGAAGTCCACGATGCCCCCCATCACCATACTCAACAGCCCTGTGTCTGCTGTGGAATCCTTCAGGTTTCTGGGATCCACTATTTCCCAGGACCTGAAGTGGGAGTCCAACATGGACACCGTCATCAAGAAGGCCTAGCAGAGGATGTACTTCCTGCACCAGCTCAGGAAGCTCAACCTGCCTAAGGACCTGCTGATCCACTTTTACACAGCCATCATCCAGTCTGTCCTCTGCTCATCCATCACTGTCTGGTTTGGATCTGCCACCAAAAAGGACAGGAGCAGACTACAACGGACAGTCAGGACTGCAGAAAAGATCATCGGTGCCAACCTGCCCTCCATTCAGGAGTTATACATTTCCAGAGTCAGGAAACGGGCAGGAAACATCACTGCAGATCCATCTCACCCCGGACACAGTCTGTTCCAGCTTCTCCCCTCTTGTAGGCGCTACAGAGCACTGTACACCAACAGACTTAGGAACAGTTTATTCCCACAAGCCATCACTCTGATGAACAGCTAATTTATGACTCATGGTGTCAGGAACACTTCTTGTGCAATAACCCAGTAACTCTGCCTCTAATCAGCCACCTGTTTACTAGCTAACATTTATTATTTATTCACCATTCTCTATTTCAGTGCTGTTCATACTGTTATATTGTAGATACTGTATACCAAATCCACCTACCTCAAGTCATTACTCCTGCACAAAATATTTATAATAATACTTATTTATTCCAGCATCCTTTGCATTATGCTTCATTGCACTGTGTACATGTATGCATGTATATGTACGTGTACATCACATCCTCCTCCAACATGTACATACTCCTGCATCCTTTGCACTCTGCTCACTGCACTATTTGTCAATATGTCTATATTGTTTTTGTTCATAGTGTGTATATTTGTGTTGTCTACACTGTCGTCTGTCTGATTTTATTTTATTTTTACTATTGTGATTTTGTATTTTTGTATGAGTAAGCACATCATGAGCAATGTACAATCCAGAGTCAAATTCCATAACGTGCAATAAAGCTGATTGTGATTCTAATGTGTTGTAACGTCACACCTCTTCCCTACAAAATTAAACACAAAACGGATAATACTGCTTCCCCGACTCCCCAGAAGAAATGGTATCATATGCAAGTATAGGGATAGTAATCAAAACACATTATGCCTTAATATTTATCCGAAAACTGCTGCAAATATAGTCGCTGCTGGTGTCTGTCCCACCTGAAACCATTCAAAGTGGTTGACAGTGCGGATTGGTTGGAATTACCATGGAGCATGTGATCATGTGGCTGCGAGATCAAAGAGTGTCGTAGCTCTCTTATTTTAGGGCTCTGGTTGTGATCTCATTGAAAGTGACCAATCATAAGAGGGTCAGTGCCCTCCTTGGTTTCCAAACTGTCCCCCAAACTGTCAAAAGTCATGTAGATTCGAGCCAGCAGAAATCAGCTCAGCGAGCAGAAATCCAGTGCGCGCGAGCAGGATTCCACTGTGCAAGTTCTCCTTTGAGAGCATGCCAGGCGCTCGTTCGCAGCTACCTGTACAACTCTCGGTTGTTGAATTTGTGCGCGAGTACTTTATCGTGTGCGCAGGAAGGTTAATTTTTGCACATGTGGAGTAACATAATTTGCTCGCCAGCATGTTTCATACGCTCACAACCTATGACCAAAAATAAACGCCATATAAAGCAAGGCTTGCAGTACTGAGAACATCAGACCAACATGTTTGTAGTACACCCTGGTGACCGGTTTGTCTGTTGCCAGTTTGCACGCTTGTTATACATTCCACGGGACAATTTAAGTGGATTGCTGTGCTGCTTCCGACTGTAGACCCCAATCATGGCCACAAGCGGAAACACGTTGGTCTGACAGTAAACTTCTTAATTTTCTTTATAAGTGTTGCTGTAGTTTTATGTACAGAGCCTTTATGTAGAACTGAATGAAACTGGAGTGGAGGAAAATAAAAATAAAAGTAAGCCTCTCTGCCCACGTGGTAGCAGTGCAGTCACAGATGTATGAAGAGAACTGGATACAAAGCTGGAGATGGGGCCTCGTTCATTCCTATGAAAGCTGCTCAGTGGCTCATTCAGCCAAAAAAGTTAAACTTTCTTGTATAAAATGATTTAATCATGTGGCTCTTATAGACTTTACAAATGTTATCAGACCGAATTGATCAAATTCTAATAGTGAAATGAGTCATTTCGCAGGGGATGTGAAATGGATCAACCGTTTCACAGCTGCTTCTTTCACAATGTAAGTCTATGTGGAAAAGTCTTTTGGGGCCAGTGCGCATCATGTAACCTGGAAGTAGTTATTCCACGGTTTGGCAACAACACTGACAATTACAGTTACTGCTGATATGGCAAACGTGTTAGCAAACAGTTATCTCTATACATCCAGCAGACATGTTACAGTATTCACATTCATTCATAGTCATTTTTTCAGGCCACCTAGCGAATGTAAGTCTTAATATTCACTCTGTTTTGTCTGTCTGTCTATTGATCTTTTTTTCACTGGAAACAGCTGCCTGCTGCTACAAAATCACCAATATGGCCTCTCTAAAAGTGTAGGATCATCACTCATCACTTTACAGTTACCTGGTCTGGATCATACACCATCAGTCGATTCTGGTACTGAGCTGTGTTTGTCACCCCACCTGTAACACAAAGGAATAACACTGTTAGCTTTTATCATAGAGCAGAAGATTGTGGTACAAATGTGCATACTAGTGTGTATCTGTGTAGCTGTGTCCGTGCATGCATATTCATGTGTAGAATCAAGGCAAATGTAATGCATGTGTGCAGACTGAGTATCTTGAGTACGTTGTCCGTATGACTGTTTACCTGAGACCCAAAGCAGATTGTCAGCCACACAGCCGGCGTGGCAGGACAATGAGTGGTCGAAGGGTTGGACAAACACCCACTTGTTCCTCTTGGGACAGTAGCGCTCCACAGAGGGCAGCACTTGCCTCAGCTCGTTCCTGCCCCCCACTGC